GTTTAGGTAGAGAGCCAATGAAACAGCATTTAGCAGCTTCTTGGCCGATGGCTATGTTCGTAGGCAGAGTTTGAGGCAGAGCAGGTGGACACTACTCCCTCTACTGACCAAACTTTATAGTGTGAAAAGTATAACACTGAAAAGAATAAAATGTGAAATAAACAAAAACGTCTTAGTTGTGTGTATAGTGTCATTATTGTCCTCAAATAACATATTTAAATGTAAATACACATTCATAACTTATTTATTATTGCAGTGTATGAGCTGCGACTGCACTAGCTGAGTTTTGTATTGTTTATTTTGTGGGCGGAGTCAGTAGTATAAAACAAAAGCACAGTGTAACAGGTCTTTAAGTGGAATAACTGCAGCATGCGTTTGTACCTGTGTGTGTGTAAAATAAGTGCATCTGCTTAGTTACTATCCAGTTAGCATTATTGTTATTTTCTATTTTTAATGTTTTGATTGGAGAGTTTCTGTTTGTTAAGCTCAAATAAAACATTTTGTTCAGTTTGTTAAGCTATTACATTCAAAGTTAGGCACTCCTACCAGGTGTGAGTTTAATCAAACATATTCCAGTTAAAGTTGGTTGTAAAGTGAGGCACCAATTTTTTTTTTTGTTTTGTTTTGTGCCTCATTTTATGATCAGATTTCTCTTCCTAGTACATATCGCTGCTGTCAAAACAAAACCTTGCATCTCCTTTTTTCAGTTTTTGACATAATTCGAAATTGCTTGTTTTCCTTTATATTGTGTGTAAATTTCATGATGAATGGACCGAAAGAAATGACCCAGAATGACTTGGAAAAAAGTCTGGTTCCATTGACTTACATTAATAGTAAAGTATGATTTTCCTTCTCCTGTAAAGTTACCATTTTGGAGAGGTTTTTTTCCGACAACAGCGATAAATTTGATTTGCACAGTTTTGTTGTTTCTCCTTGACTCTGCTCTCCTGTTTCCTTCAGTATAAGTTATCCAAGTCATTCATTTTTCAGAGTCAGGAAAAGAGCAGAAAACATTTAACAGCTTTAAGAATTATATATATAATATCAACTAAAAATTAACGCTTTAAGAATTATATATATAATATCAACTTTAGTGTGTCCACTCTACTCTATAGAAAATCGAATGTTGAGAGACATTTTCCAAGAAACTGTTCTACTTTTGAGAAAAAGTTTCCTGCCAGAGACGCGAGAAAAGCAGCTATAGCTTAAAGCAGAGCAAAGTAAGTCTGTGTTTTCATTTATATTATATTTCTTATCCTATACTAACACATCAGCACATACTCAGACATATTTACAGCCAAAATGGTGAAACAGTCTTCGCTTTGCTGTTGACTGAAAGTTTCTTGCACAGCGAAGCAATGGTGAAACTGGAGTACAGTGTAACCCGTCCCTCCAGTATATCCCTGTGACCCAGTCTCTCTGTTCTGCTTTAATTCAGTGGCTAAGCTTTAGCGACTTTAGCGTTCTTCTATCTTTTACTCCACTGGAAATCCACTGTAGAGAACTCCTTTCTAGAGTGACCAGAAGCCTATGGGGCATTTGACCATTCAAAAGTTACTGTGTTCCTGTAGGTAATGAAGGAATAACATAGGGCGTGATGGGTAACTCTCTCTGAGGTCATGTGGGTGTTGATTTGATGTTGTTAGGAGTTGCTTTTAGGTCTTAAAGGGTGTTTTTGATGTTTCATGGTCACCTGAAAGTTCAGAACAACTACATACAACAAAAACTCAGATTCATATAACTGACAATAAATATCTCCTCTCCTTAGAAACACAGCAGTGGTCTGGATTTAAAGTTGAGAATCTGCACTTTTCACACAGTTTCTCTGCTTGGTTCAGTGAGCTACGAGTCAGAGTTAATTGATATTAAATGAAAGCATTGTCGCTGGTGACAACTGGGACTAAGGGTACAGTACTGTAGACGGGAAACAGCCCCTTAAATAAGTCAGAGGTTTAGACTCCTGCCCTGAATAATGCCCTCTCAGACAGGACGTATCATTCACAGGCACTTAAGTGCAAAAGAAAAAAGAAAGAAGGGGAGAAAAACGTGAGAGAGCAGGGTGAAGTCGGGGTGAAAGACATGCTTGGCAGGAAGTTCGAGTGACTCTTGCCAAAGTCACCAATCTGTAACTGTAGAGAGAGAGAGAGAGAGAGAGAGACAGAGAGAGGACTACAGCAATGCAAGAAGAGAGAAAGAGAAAGAAAGAAAAAGATGGAGGGAAAAGGAGTGAGAAAGAGAGACCGAAAGAGAAGGATAGAGAGATAAAGAGAAAAACAGGGCAAAAGGCAGAGCAAGAGAGAAGGCTAGAGAGAGAGAAGCATAGAGAGAGTGATAAAGAGAGAGAGATAAAGAAAGGATACAGAGAATGAGAGAGAGAGAGAGAGAGAAGAAGGAGAGAGTGAGAGAGAACGAACTATAGCGAGAGAGAAAAAGAGAGACAGAGCAAGAGAGAAAGGAGGGGAGAGAGAGGGAAACAGAGAGAGAGAAAGGAAAGGGAGAGAAGGAAATAGAGAGAAAGAGACAAAGAAGGAGAGAAAAAGAGAGAGAGACAAAGAAGGAGAGAGAGATTTTTAAGTAGGAGGAGGAGGAGGTTTCGCTCCAGGAGAGCCTGCTAAGCGGGCTTTGGGTTTCCAACTGGAGCTGTTTGTCCAGATGTGGGCAGCTGGAGGCTGGTGTGGTATTTTTGGGAGCTGTTAGAGCTCAGTCAGCCCCGCCTGTGATCAGGCCGATCACTTTTCCTCTGACCTCCTCTTTCAGCAGGCTGAACTTTCCTTTAATAGAGGCTCATTAAACACACTGAGCTTACTTTAATCGCTGAGACGTTTGGAGCCAAATTAAACTTTCCTATCGTGATAGCAGTGAAATCAAAAGTATTTGGACAGCTGACCATCAGACTAATGGGAATTTGTTGAACATCCCATTTCAAAACCACGGGCATTATAGATTCCCCCCCGCCACCCATTCAGTCTGAAGAGCATTTGTGAGGTCAGACACTGAAGTTGGACGAGAGGGCCTGGCTCACAACTGACGTTCCAGTTCATCCTAAAGGTGTTCAGTGCGGTTGAGGTCAGGGCTCTGAGCAGGCAACTGGAGTTCCTCCACACCAAACTGGTCACTCCATGTCTTTATGGAGCTCACTTTGTGCACAGGGGCTCAGTCACGCTGGAACGGGAAAGGGTCTTCAACAAACTGCTGACACAAAGTTGGAAGCATATAATTGTCTAAAATGTCTTTGTGTGCTGTCGCATTAACATCACCCTTCACTGGAAATAAGGGGCCCAAACCCTGTCAAACAGCCCCAGCCCATTATCCCCCCTCCACCAAACTTTACTGTTTACATTTTGAGGGGTGTCCACATACTTTTGCACTTCCTCTCACTTTCCACTTTATGAGTTCTGCCTACCTTATAGCTCCAGACTGTGCATGTATGTTCTTGTATGTTGGTTGCCACTGTAAATACACTGTAGCTACAGTAGGCTGGATAGGTGTTTCAGCACAGATAATGATATAATTACATATTTATTTAGCTTTTTGTAGCCTATAAGGAGATAATTACAGTTTTATTTAGCTTTTTTGCTGTCTAATTAGATAATGGTTTTGTTTTAGGTTTCTGTTGTCTACTCAGGTGTTGTCTGTCAGGTGTCTCCTGCTGGTTCAGCGAGTAATCCTCAACGAATGATTAAATTAAAACTGTATTTACGCAACTGCAGCTGCTTGACTGTCAGTAATGCATATCAGGCTGTGTGAGAGCATAATTGAGATGCAAATTTATGAAAATCAGTGGCAGCACATGAATAAAATACACTGCATTAACACAAGTATTGCCCAAACAAGTAAACTTAAAGAAAGCAATTGTATTAATGTAATATATTTTATGTGTCTGCAGCCATAATTTCATCATTAGCCATTTTTTTCAGTAAACGTTGGGTTCTCTTTTTATTGTAACAGAGTGACAACTGTGTAGCACAGGAGAATTCCACCCATTTTTCAAAATTTCTGCATACTCTAAACAAAGTCATTCAGATTGGTTTGATATGAAAAAATGGTTCATTGCAGAGAAACTTACCAACTCAGATTTACTGGTGATAAGAACCAGGGGTCACAATGTCCACGACACAAAAATAGCCATTTTATTTACTATCCAAAACCACCAGGGAAAATACATGTCCCTTCTGAGCTTTTATATTAATATTGATGATAGTGTGGCAACAATTAATTGATTAATTGATTCGTTGGTGGCTATTAAATCAATCGCTATTAAATCAATCGGCAACTATTTCGGTAATCTTTTTAAGAAGACAAAGTAAAAAATTTTGATTCCTGCTTCTTAAATTTGAATATTTTCTGGTTTCTTTACTCCTCTGTGACACCAGCCTGGATATCTTTGGGGTGTGGACAATAAAAAAGACATTTGAGGACGTCATCTTGGGCTTTGGAAAACACTGATCGACATTTTTCACCATTTTCTGACATTTTATAGACCAAACAACTAATCGATTAATCGAGAAAATGATCAACAGATTAATCAACAATGAAAATAATTCTGCCCACGTTGATGATCATAAACTAGTGATGAATCTGAGAAAATATGTTTTGTTTGGGGACTACTGCCTTACGACGGCTTACATGTACCCCTCCACCATGAATGATTTTTTAAAAAATACCTAAAATGACCAAAATCCTATTTGAAGACCATCATAAAGCAATTTCTCAGATATCATGAAGGCTATTCACAACCATTTCATGTAATAGCTGTCTCTGAGGGAGCTTTTAGAGGTGGACGTCTGGTTCCTATCACCACCACTGTGAACAATTTTGACTCGTAGAACAGAGCATTTCATACCACACCACTCTGAATGACTCTGTTTACATCCTAACCATTGAAATATAAAGAAATTGTGGAAAATCAGGAGAATTCCTCTTTAATAATTCAATCTTTTATTGACATGTTTGTATTTACCAACGTTTCCTCTGTTTGTTTTTGTCCTGGTGCGTCTCAGGTTTCTCCTCACGGCCGTGGCGTGTCTCTCAGCCTACTCCATCCACCTGCTGCTCAAATCCTCCGGCGTTGTAGGTGAGTGTCAGTTTAAAGCAACAGTTTGTTTAAAAATGGAACGTCAAGCTACAGTTTGTGTCTGGGTTTTTTTGGTTAAGGTACTGATTTACACTGCAAAAATTATATTATAACATCTTAATCATCTTATATGTAATATTGACTAGATTGTGGTAAGAATTTTAAAACATTATATAACCCATGTCTTACATAGTTAAAGGGCCCATATCCCACATTTTTCTTGTGTCTTATTTCTTTTCTTGAGATCCACTTATAACATTTGTTTAATATATCAAAAAACAGCCATAAATCATTTTTATGTGACATTTTTCCAACCTTGTTTATGCCTCAGAATTAAACAGGCTCTTTTTGTTACTTTCCCTTTAAGACTGATACATGTAAATGAGCTCTATTCTGATTGGCAGCCCTGTAATGCACCTCATTCAAAAAGCAATTTAGGCTGAAACACTCCTTGTAACTTTTAGCATGAATGGGTGGGGCTTATCCTCCATAGACTGGGTGAGTGAATGTATGTAAAGGATTTGGGTTTTGTGACATCACAAAAACAATGAAACGTGCCATTTTCGCAGCTTAGTTTTCCATATAATGACCCACTGGACTGGGAAGTGAGCGGTACTTTAATGTTTACATCTAACTTTTACTTAAAAGAAGCAAGGAAAATGAGAATTTTCATTAAATGGACCCTTTAACTAAAATGTTGGTCCCTTCTAGCCTTCATAACTTCAGAACGGTTTAAGCTACAGACATGATACACATATCAGGACATTCAGCAGACCCGGCCCAAACTTGCTAGCATCACATCCTTGAGACGTCAGCATCAGTGAGTAATTTGGCTTGGAAAAAAACACCCAAATCCTGATATTATTGCTCTGTTTTTTTGGCCTTTATATTCCAACAAAGGGTTAAAACAGCACCAAGATTCATACATCAGATCACTTTGACCATCCTTCAGCCAGCAGTCCAGCTCCAAAATCACCCAAAACCCACTCACTACGGTTATAGCACATCTCTGCTTTTAGCCTTTATATTATAAACAAAGGGTTAAAAATAGCAACATGATTCACACACCAGAACACTCAGAGGAACCTGCCATCACTAGCCAGAGTGAGAGAAACCAGCCCTAACATTGCACAACCCAGAAATACAGCACAAACACACAGCCGGATCACACATCCTTCATATGGCAGCAAAAGGGCTAAACACTTTATGACTGACACTTTATGACTTACTGTTACTTATAAACATGGACTAAAGCATGTTGCATAGCTGAAAACAGTAGCAGCAGCGTGAATTTTCTTACTTTTTATCTATTTTTATAGGTATGTAATACAGTGGAGGGATATAAGCTTCTCTGTCTTGTTAGCAGTAGTGTACTCTACTTCCCCTGTTGAATGATGAGACATTTCTTGTGCAATATAGCCCAGAAATCTCCTCACACTAATAAGGCTTCACCCAAAAATGTGGCTAACAGTCAGTGCACCCTAGTGGGATGTATTTGCATAATCTCATTTATGTAATGCTACCAGCCCTCAGTCATCATTGGCAGTGCAGGCACTGTTTGGATGAGCTGTTTCCTTTAACGTAATGATGTGAGTGAAGGTGGTCGGTCATAGAAGAGCTGATCGGGGTAGCTGGAGCATGAGGTCAGTGTGTAATAGGAAGACGCACTGTAGGGCAGCCATCATATTAACAGTGTAAACAGAATGGACGGATGGCTCACACTCCGCGCGCCCTCCCGGACCCCTGGGACAGATTTTAGTTGTCCTTTTAGTTGGCAGCATATTAATGGTGGAGCGGCGGGCTGAAAATAGCAGCCTCTGTGCGCCGCAACACCGACTCTGACCGGCTCTGACATTATTATTCTGGGCCAGATCAATAGGAGTTATTAGAAAAACAATAATAAAACCCTAAACTGCATGCCTGTGTGAGGTTTTGCTGTTGTGTATGAATATTTGGATAAAGAGTAGACCGAATATTTATCTATCGTCAGTGACGAGATGTGATGGAAAGGACAAGCGTGGAAATCGGTTTAGCCAAACGGAATTTATTCAGAGGCTTCTGTGTTTGTGTGTGTGTTAGGGTTCATATGCATAGATCTGAGTGTACTATAAGAATCTAATTATCTATAAAAATCTTTTTTATCTATAAAAGATAAACATGTTTATAGATAACAGAGTGTCACACAGTGTCAGAAACAGCATACGCAAGATTACTTAAAGGGGAATTCCACCAATATTTTAAAATTTCTGTCGTTGGATGTAAGCAAAGTAATTTAGAGTGGGGTGGGCGATATGGCAAAAATATAATATCACAATACGTCAGAAAATTATCACAATATACAAGTTATATTGAGTTGGAAAAGACAAAAAAGGATTAGCAGTACCACATTTACAAAGTATTATCAAAAACCATGAGTCTTTGTTTAACATTTTACATATTGCACTGCACTAAATCCAGTTAAAGAGGCCTAATGATGCACATTTTTTTATGAAATATAGTTATTTAGTGTTATAGAAGTACTGACTTCGGCATACTCAGAAAGGCATATTTTGGCATATTGTGACATAATTTATCCCAATAGGGATAACTTTTTTTATATTGCCCAGTGCTAATTCAGAGTGGTTTGATATGAAATGGTTTATTGTGGAGAACTCAGACTCAGTGATAGACACCAGGAACTGTGAACCAGGCATTGCGTTGCAATTATCAAAAATGGCCAGTGAACCCACATCTGTCTTCTGAGTTTCTATATGTGATGTTAATGATGGAAAAATAGTGATTAATCTTAAAACAATACGTTTCTTTTAGGGTCTGTTGTCTTGTGTGAATTAGATTTTTGGACGAACTATTGGTTTAATCCTCTCTGTGCTCTGCAGGTATCAGGGCGTATGAGCAGTTGGGTTATCGGGCCTTTGGAACGCCGGGAAAAATGGCTGCGGGCATCGCGATCACACTGCAGAATATTGGAGGTGAGACTGCAATGTCACATACTGAGCGTCACAGGAGACGCACAAACAATACCCAGCAATAACACTGAGAAGGACAATCCACTCACATAACCTTCACAAAACAGAGCGATTATATCTAAAGTGCAGAAGATAAACAGCACAGCCTTTCATCATTCAAATGGCTCTCATTCATCCCTCTCTTCTCTCTTTCTATCTCATTTTCCCCTTATTTGGAGCACTGCAGTCTGACTGCCTTTTATTCACATGAAAGCATATTGAGACCTTGCATGAATACTAGAGGTGTTATGGATCGATCTGAAGGTGATGATTCAACTGTGTTGATACTAGAATGGTAGAATAATAATATAATATAATATAATACAATATAATATAATATAATATAACACACTATATGGACAAAAGTACTGGGACACACCTCTTAATTACTGAGTTCAGGTGTTTCAGCTACACCCATTGCTAACAGGTGGATCAAATTAAGCACACTACAGTCTCCATAGACAAACACTGACAGTAGAATGGGTCACACTGATGAGCTCAGTGACTTTAAACATGGCACTGTCATAGGATGCCACCTCTGCCACAAGTCACTTTGAGAAATTTCTGTCCTGCCAGGTCTGCCCTGGTCAACTGTAAGTGCTATTATTGTGAAATGGAAGCACCTAGGAGCAACGACAGCTCAGCCACGAAGCAATAGACCATGCAAATTGGCAGGTGGGTGGTGGTGGAGGGATGATGCTATGGGGCTGTTTTCAGGGGTTTGTCCTAGACCCCTTAGTTCCAGTGAATGGAAGTTTTAATGCTTCAGCAGACCTGAAAGACATTTGGACATGAAAGACACAGCAAGATATTTTGGACAATTGAATGCTTCCAACTTTGTGGGAACCGTTTGGGGAAGAACTTTTTCTGTTCCAGCATGACTGAGACCCAGCACACAAAGCAAGGTCCATAAAGGCCTGGCTGGGTGAGTTTGGTGTGGAGGAACTTGGCTGGCCCTCACAGAGCCCTGACCTCAACCCCATCAAACACCTTTGGGATGAACTAGAACGGAGATTGTGTGCCAGGCTTTCTCGTCCAACATCAGTGTCTGACCTCACAAATGCGGAAGCTGTTATAGCTGCAAAGGGGGACCAACTCCAAATTAATGACTTTGGATTTAGAATAAGATGTTATAAAAGCCCCTGTGCTTGTAATGTGTAGGTGTCCCAATACTTCTGTCCATGTAGTGTGTAATACAATACAATATGGCTGTCAAGTCTCAAAGTTTATCATACCTGTTTACCTAATCCTAATAGAACTAGGAAATGAGTGATGGAAAATCTGTAGAATTTAATAAAAGCAGAATTTTGAGATGGTGAAAACTTGTGAGCTTTATATTCCTGGCAGTAAAACTGCATCAAAGGAAGGAAACATGAGTGGCCATGAGTGTCATGCATTTTTTTCACAGGTTTTATCCAATTCTACAGGTTTTCCATCACCAGCTTCCATATTTCTGTTAGGATTAGGTTGACAGGGTGGGATAAATATCAGTGCTTCATTATTTAAAATCATGAGTATTTTGCAGTTACACATTTAGTATATCTAGTGCAGTTTCCATTTGCACCAGAGGGGGCGACAAAGTCCCAAAAGCTTTTTTACACCAAGTCTGAGTTTTACAGACACACACACATAAAATGCATGTCTTGAAAACATACACATTAACACAAACACGTCTGAGCTCCTGGTGGCTCCTGTAGTTTGATCCCTCATTTTAATGCTGACATTCACATGAGGCTCCTGCATGAGCTAGAGTCGCACTTTTTTAGCAGAATGGGCTTTTAGCTCATGTCAACATCCCTGAGTCACATTAGATAATAGAAAAATAATAACTTCATCTCGACTACTATTCAGTGAATCCAGTTTTTCCTTGTTCAGAGTGTTTGTTTAATAACAAAGGCATATCAGGCCTAACGTGAAGGTTTCTGATGCAGTGTGGAAGCACCTCACGATGACTAAGCATTAAACTAAAAATAGGCATGGAAACGACTGCTTGTGATGGCATTATTTTCTGTTTATCGTCATGCTGGCACTCACAGTGTGGCTTACAAGATGACTCACTGTGTGAGCGCTCTTACAAAACGAATAGTCTAGCTATCAATTTCTTAGACAGCCAATTTCATAATTATTGATTAATCGGTACGTAGTTCCATAATAATATGTGCAGATTTTTTGGGTAAAACAAAATCAAACATAGTTATCCAAAATAATTTGTTTTCATTTTGCTGCTGTCGGAGAAAACCTCGTATCTCCATTTTTGCCGTTTTTCTGTTTTTGACATCATTTGAAAATGCCTGTTGCTCTTTACATTGTGTGTAAATTTAATGAAGAATGGACCAAAGAAACGGCCCAAAATGACTTGGAAAGAAGTCTGGCTCCATTGTTTTACATTAAAAGTAAATTATGTTTTTCCTTCTCCTGTAAAGATACCATTTTGGAGATACGAGATTTTCTTCCGACAGCAGCGATTTACTGTGTAAATAGTTACTTCAGTCACATTTGCAAATACATTTTATCTTTTAAAACACTGTACTTTTAAAATTGTACGTTTAAAAGTACTGCATTGTCTCAAAATAATCGAACAATAGAACTATAATTGACCTGAGTTGTTTTAAGGGTAAGAGATTTAGCCCTAATTAAACATTATTCTATTCTGTCACACTGTTAGAAATAAAGGTTCTGTTCAGGTACATTTTTCGTTCATTAAGGTACAAACAGTGTAAATGTTCCCTCAAAGGTACAACAGTGGTTTTAAGGTCTGATTGCGAATCTTAAATAAGTTTTTCCAGGTGAAAAGTTCGTATTTGTACCTTTTCATAACTGAATGTTTTAAAACAGAACAGTAAAATAAAAGCCTGGAGACGAGACGGGGTGTGTGGAGTCAGTACAGCTTAGAACATATCATTTCAGTGGATTATGGTTCAGTTATGTTCCCTGACTAAAGGTACTGAGATGTACCCTTAAGGGGAACCACCCCAGTGACAAGAGGGGCACTGCCCCAGTGACAGTTTAGTACCTTATTTCCTGAGAGTGCAGAGTTGCTGTCAGTTTCTGCATTTTCCTCAGTGTCTCTGTTCTTGTAGGTTCAGCGCCGGAGCTTGTTCAGCTAAACAGCCTTTGATAGAGTCTGTTTTTATATCTGTGTCTTCTGTGTGATGTGGGGACAATCTCAAAGAACTCGACGTCGTTCTTATCAAAGGATGAAATCCCACCGCAGCCCCTGCAATCCTCTATCAGAACGTCAACATCTCGAGCATTTCTGTTGTTATTTTGTCTGCTTTAGTGTTTTCCTTCAATTGTTCTTTTTAGAGAACGTTAACAGTTGAACTTTGAAGTGTGCTACAGTTTAATCCACAATGAGATGAAACGGCTCGGCGCTGCGCTGGGATTTACATGTGTTTGTAGGAGATAAATATAGAAGAGTGATTCTCTTTACTGACATTCGCTTCCAGAATAATAATCACACCCCCTCCCCATCCCTTGTAGTAGTGGGGTGAACGACAGATTGGAGACTGTTGGCGTGGGTGTGTTAGTGACCAACCAATGCCGATTTCAAAGGGAATTCCACCCATTCTTCAAAAGGCTCTGCCTAATTCAGTCATTGCAATGTAAACACAGTCATTCAGAGTGGTTTGGTGTGAAATGGTTGATTGTAGAGACTCAGATCTCTTTACAGTGGTGGTGATAGGAACCAGGGGTCACCATGACGACAAAACAAATGTAGACATTTTATTAACTATCCAGAACCTACACACGTCTTCTGAGTTTTATATGGAATGTTGATGATGGTAAAATAGGGATAAATCTGACAGGAATACATTTTAAGCCAAAATCTTATCTCAAAGCTATTGTACAACAGTGCTTCAGACATCAGGCAGCATATTCATAACTTACTGTGAGAGAACTTTTAGAGGTGGACGTCTGGTTCCTATCACTACCACTGCGAACAATTCTGACTCTAGAACAGAGCTTTTCAAATCCAACAACTCTGAATAATGTGGGGCAGTGCCGCTCTTGTCACTGGGGTGGTCCCCTCAAGGGTACATCTCCGTACCTTTAGTCAGGGACCATAACTGAGCCATAATCCACTGAAATGATATGTTCTAAACTGTACTGACTCCACACACCCCGTCTCGTCTCCAGGCTTTTATTTTACTGTCCTGTTTTAAAACATTCGGTTATAAAAAGGTACAAATACGAACTTTTCACCTGGAAAAACTTATTTAAGGTTCACAATCAGACCTTAAAACCACTGTTGTACCTTTGAGGGAACATTTACACTGTTTGTACCTTGACAAATAAAAAGTGTACCTGCACAGAACCTTTATTTCTAACCGTGTAGGATGGTGCCATTTTGTTATAATTAGCATTTTTTTCATGTTAAGCTATCTGGATTTTCGTATGTACCAATAAACCCATAGAACTTTAATATCAGTTGATTTTTTGGGCCAGATGATAAATTGGTTGGTCCCTTTATGTGTTTGTATGTTTTGGGTCTTATGACTGTTTTCTCTCTCCTCTCTCACAGCAATGTCCAGCTATTTGTATATAGTGAAATACGAGTTTCCGCTGGTCATACAGGCCTTTCTCAGGGTGGACACACCATCAGGGTAAGTGTGTGTGTGTGTGTGTGTGTGTGTGTGTGTGTGTGTGTGTGTGTGTGTGTGTGTGTATCTGTGTGTCACAATACTCTCGTCACCAATCTGTGACATTTTAAACTTCCACCTGACCTGTTTTAGCTCTGATATTGCATTACTCTCTCGAGGCTGTGTTCCAAAATCAGCCCATGTGAATCTCTCTGCCATATTTACATACAGCAACTACTGTCTACAGCCATCTACACCTACAGAGCACATTTACACTGCTATTACTGATCTACTCAGTGTTTATAGTGTAATTCAATAAATCAGGCCTTTAAACTATCAAACCATGTTCCTCAGAAGTCTCCAGTTCCGGTCCTGGATGGCCTTAGTCCAGCACAAACACACCTGATTCAATGCAGCAGTTAGTTTGTCGGTTTGGCTGTTTAAACAGGAAAATCACCAAACTGTGCCGGACACTGGCCATCAGCACTGCAATTGGAGAGCAATGCTTATACAGTGCCCCTCAGAATTATTGGCACCCATAGCAAAGGCTATGTGTTGTTCCTCATCTTGGCCATCTTGGACAGGCATACACACACAGACAGATAGCTGGCTGATGAGTGGATGGACAGACAGACAGATAGATATACAGATAGACATGGAGACAGATGACCAAACAGACTCGGAGACGGATGGAGAGACAGACAGGCATAAAGGCCAAAAGACAGACAGATAAGGCAGTTAAGGAATGGACAGCCAAATGGACGTACATGCAGATGGACAGATTGCTAATCATTGAATGGACAGACACAAAGATAAACCATTACATGAAAAATGGACAGACAAGCAGACAAACAGAAAAGTCAGATGATTTATGAAAGGACAGATAGATAGATAGATAGATAGATAGATAGATAGATAGACAGACAGACAGACAGACAGGCAGGCAGTAAGACAGAGAGACAGACAGAGAGGACAGTGAGGTTATAACTGTCACCACAGGCTAAATGTTAAGTGTGATCAATAGTTCAGTAAATGGACAGAGGAAATATGAACCAATCTCTCCAGCTCTCTCTCTCTCTCTCTCACACACACACACACACACACACACACACACACACACACACACAGCATACACTGAATGTCTAGAGGGATTTGTAGACCAAAGAGTAATATGTGTGCATGTTTCACATTAAACTTTAGTTCTCAGTGTATATTATGGTGCTTCAATCACTCAGTCTGTGTCTAATTACTGACTCACTGTGTGTGAGAGAGAAATTGTGGTCTGTTCACAGTTTCTCTCGGATCAATGGTTCCCACAGGCTTTCTGAGTCACACACAGATCTTAATGATGTGTGTGTGTGTGTGTGTGTGTGTGTGTGTGTGTGTGTGTGTGTGTGTGTGTTTATCTTCTGAAGGTCAGATCTCAGCAGGTAGGGAGTAGGTTTAGGCAGATGGTAGATGTAAACTCTGGAGCTCAGCTTGGCAGACGATTTGCACTGAGACACTCAAGGGCACCACAAAATCGTCATGGAAACGACCTATGACTGTCTGCAGTCTGTTTGCATTCGTCCCCTCCTGGGCCAATCAGGAGGCTCACAGGACAGCAGTAGACACTGATGAAGTGCAGCAGACAGTTTCCATGGCGATTACTTACTTCCAGAGTTCAGGGTTTCCATAGTGATTACTTCTAGAGTTCAGGGTTTCTATAGTGATAATACACTCCTAGAGTTCAGGGTTTCTATAGTGATAATACACTTCTAGAGTTCAGGGTTTCCATATTGATTACTTACTTCTAGAGTTCAGGGTTTCCATATTGATTACTTACTTCTAGAGTTCAGGGTTTCCATATTGATTACTTACTTCTAGAGTTCTGGGTTTCTATAGTGATAATACACTCCTAGAGTTCAGGGTTTCTATAGTGATAATACACTCCTAGAGTTCAGGGTTTCTATAGTGATAATACACTTCTAGAGTTCAGGGTTTCCATAGTGATTACTTACTTCTAGAGTTCAGGGTTTCCATAGTGATAATACACTTCTAGAGTTCAGGGTTTCCATAGTGATTATATACTTCTAGAGTTCAGGGTTTCCATAGTGATAATACACTTCTAGAGTTCAGGGTTTCTGTAGTGATTATACACTTCTAGAGTTCAGGGTTTCCATAGTGATTATATACTTCTAGAGTTCAGGGTTTCCATAGTGATAATACACTTCTAGAGTTCAGGGTTTCCATAGTGATTATTTACTTCTAGAGTTCAGGGTTTCCATAGTGATTATATACTTCTAGAGTTCAGGGTTTCCATATTGATTACTTACTTCTAGAGTTCAGGGTTTCCATAGTGATTATATACTTCTAGAGTTCAGGGTTTCCATAGTGATTATATACTTCTGGAGTTCAGGGTTTCCACAGTGATTACTTACTTCTAGAGTTCAGGGTTTCCACAGCGATTACTTACTTCTAGAGTTCAGGGTTTCCATAGCAGATACTTATTTCTAGAGTTTGGGGGCTTCCATAGTGATTATACACTTCCAGATTTCAGGGTTTCAATGGCAGTTACTTCCTTCTAGAGTTTAGGGTTTCCAAAGTGATTATTTGTTTCTAGAGTTCAGGGTTTTCATGATGATTACCTATTTCAAAATTTCAAGATTATCATAGCGATCACTTATTTCTAGAGATGAGGGGTTCCATAACAATTACTCATTTCTAGAAATCAGGGTTTCCATAGGGATTACTTAATGCTAGAATTTAGGATTTCCATAGCAACAATTTCCTTCTAGAGTTTAGGGTTTTCATAACGATTACTTATTCCTAGATTTCAGGATTTCCATAGGGATAGGTTCTTTCTAGAAGTTAAAGTTTTCATATTAATGACATACTGCTGGAGTTTAGGGTCTTCATAAAGCAATACTGCTGTGAAATATAGTGTGATTGTTCTGCTCGCTTGCTATAGCATTAGGTAATAGTGCACATTATCATAGTTATAAGAATAAAGGTTTGGAAGCTGCAGAAGTGTGCAGGATCGTTCATGTACACTCATCTCATAACTACGATATTCTGACAGGAATTGAAGGCAGCATAAATGTACTTGTGTAAATAGTAAATGCAAAATTTATTTAATACATCAGATTAAATGCTGCTTTTATGCCAGGATGCCTCTTTAAGGCTGGGTTGGGTGAAGATCAGCACGGCAGCTTTTAACTAGTCTTGTATGTATGCGTGTTGGAATTCGTCTCACTGTCTGACTCATCCTCCTTCACCCACGAGGCCGAGTCGGGGAAGAACATGACGTGCGGCTCAGTTCATCAGCTCAATTATAAAGCACCATTTTCACTTAATTCTCAACAAGAACAAAGTGTGAACCCTCTTCTTACCCACACGCTCCTCCTCAGCATGATGAAGTCTCTGTTCTCTGAGCTCTCCCAGACAAGCAAGCCAAACGGAAAAGACGAGCCAGGAAAAAGAAAAGGTAGTGATGTGGCAGGTCAGGAAGGATTTGCCTTTTCTTTTTCTTTTCTGTTTTTTTTCTGCATCATCCGTTTCCTGTTCCAGGTCACGCTGTGGCAGGATTTTCTCTTTTTCTCTTGTCTTTTTCTGCATCGCGTGTTTTCTTACCCTCTTCCAGATCGTGATGCAACAGAATTTTCTTTTTTTCTCTGTTTTTCCTCCCTGTTTTATTCATTGCACAATTGTGTTGCAGGTCATGATGTGGAATGATTCTCTCTTTTTTTCTTTTTTTTCCTTCTTTTTTTCTGCATCGCGTGTTTTGCTTTTCCAGGTCATGACGCGACAGGATTTTCTCTTTTTTTTTCCTTTTTTTCTTTTTTTTCCTGTAATTCACGTTTCCTGTTCCAGGTTGTGATGTGGCAGGCCAGGAAGGATTTTGTGTTTCTTTTGGCCGGCTTTCTGGGAGAGCCCGGTCTTAATAAGGGGAAGAATAACCGGCTTAAGAGATTTCGAAAAAGAGAGAGTGAGGGTTTTGTGATGACCCACCTCACTCTCCCATCCAGCTCTCCAGCCACAAGCGAATGAAAATCCGCATACTCGAGGAAAAAGCCAAAACAGCTCTAGCCGACCACCATTAGACACATATGTTAGTTCAGTGACAAATCAAGTTTGTAAACTGCAGCCGCCCCCCCACTCCACCCAAATATGAGCTGTGTCCCAACTCAGGGGCTGCATCCTTCGGAGGCCGCATTTGAAGGCCGATTGCGTCACAGCGGCGCGACTAGGCTGTCCCATTTCGAAGGCTCCTTCACACGTGGCCGAGAAATGTGTCCTTCTTTTCCATGACAACAAAGGATCCAACAAGTGGATCCTTCGCCAGTCAACATATCCCAAGGTTAATTCAATGCCGGCGAGAATTTGAGAACATGGTGGCGTCAGCAGAGGAGCGAACGGCGGCTGAGGAGACACTTTAAATATAAGTATTGGGTTTAAACTCTAATAGCTAATTATACAAATGTTAAAAAAAACAGTCTCATCAGTCTAAGATGCATCAAGTGCCAGTGCAGAGGCCGTCGGTGAAGCATCTCCAGCTCTAATAAATGAAAAAATAGAAAAAGCTTGACAGGAGCGGCGTTTTGTGATACGGCAGTAAGGGCGGGAACAGCGGTGCTGTGGCACAAACAGGAAATCCGCCGTAGAGCAGACCGTCTCATTTCGGTTCAGCCTTCACGGGTCTACGTGGTCTATGAAGACTGCATCCTTGGAAGGATGCAGCCCCTGAATTGGGACACATTGATAGTCAGTCAGCCAAGACGTGAGGTCTGAAGTTCCTTCGGTTTTGCTCTGAAGCTACGAGGCTAATGTAGCTAACAGGTAGTAGAATCCACGGCCCTGTTCAAACCTCTCATTAACATGTCTTGAGTAATCTAATTATAACAGTGAGGCATTTAGCCATTTAGACCTGCCATTTCCGTGAGTCTTTGATGTGTCTCCAGTGACCACTAATAATTGTTTTTTGTAACTGGAGGAAGGGTATCACCATGTTCAAGTAACGCAAATTGTAAACAAATGGAAATGGAAACGAAGAAAGAAGCTATGCAGCTGCTTTTGTCCCTGTTGGGACTTGATTAAGGCGGCCCTTCGTTGCTGTCTGGAACACACTAGTATACAAACTACAAATATTACATAGTCCTAAATGACGCTGACCACCTTTGAAGGTAGCCTGAGTGATCGTAACACTGTACTTAGTGCTGTCCACTTATAGTCAGATCACCAAAGACATACGCTAATGCTAGACAAGAGCAAGGCCTGTGATTAGGGTTGCCGCCTGTCCACGATTTCCCTGGATCGTCCTTTGTTTTCGTTCTCTGTCCAGGAAAAAATTAAGTATGCAGTCCCCTGAATTCAAACATGTTTAAATGACTTATATATATCCAATAATACTGTTTGTTTACACAAAATGGCTTTAGATCACCCTAAATGTAGGGAGAGATGTTCCAGGTTTTGTTTTCATATGAAAAAATCGTATTTATTGAGAATAGGCCTTGAGACTGCATCATTAGCATAGCTAACCATCCACTGAATTTAGTGAAAAATGAAGCCGCTTATCGAGCATCCAGGGAATTTTACAGGGCTGAGGCAGCAGCCCTACCAGTGACCAACTGGTAGCGTTGTGCTAACTGCATCACACTTGCCTGACACCACATGGAAATGTTAAGTAATCCACTTGATTATGTGGTTTCTAACACTGTATGACACTCAGTTACCTATAAAACGTGAACAAAAGTTCATCATTCAGGCCAAGATGTCTGCTGCTACTGTTCGTAGCTATGCTAGTATACTTTTGTTCATGTTTATGTCTAACACAGTGTCAGAAACCACATAATCAGGTCTATTACAGATTATATAACAACACGACACAGCTTGAGGCAAATGCGGGATGATTTAGGCATGCCGTTAGCACCATGCTAATTGGGGATATGCTTCCAATTAGCTTTGTAGTTCCAGTACAAAAGTAAAAAAAGCAAACTTTGGACACCAAACTTGCAACTTTCTCTTAACCTCGTTATTAATATTCTTTCTCCTTATTCTCTCTCTCTCTCTCTCTCTTTTTAGAGAGTGGTATCTGGATGGTAATTATCTGGTGATGATTGTCTCCGTCTGTATTATTCTTCCTCTGGCTCTGATGAAGCAGCTGGGTAAGTCATGATCCTCCTCAGGCCTTTTTCCTCCACTAACGTTCACACGCTGAGCAGTTCCTTGACCAATTAAACCCCCTTGCTCTCTCTGTTTTACTCAGAAGATTTGAACGAGTTTGATGTAGCAGTAAACACATCAAACTTTCATCAGAGGCTTTTTTAAGGAAATTCTTTTTGGCCTTCATCATCTGCCATAGAAGTGAGATGTCTTCTGAATTAGGTGGATAAGTAGGGCAAGCACAGATGGAAGTGTGATTTACTGATAGTTTATTTGGAGCATTATTTGTCAACATGTTTATAATGATCTGTATTTTTGGGCTTTGCTTTCCATAATTTAGGAAGGCCTAGTTTTAGTGCTATATATAAGTTAAGTGGAACGATACTTGTCAATTTTCAGTGCAGTTTGACCCTGAAAACAACCAAGTTTTGAAAGTTTGGGATATTTTTGCATGATGTTTCACACTCAGCCTAGCAGTGACACTGACGTATGTAAAAACCCCAGAAACACAGCTGTGTCTGATACACTCATACCGGCAACACGCACGCACTAATGTGTCAGTGTTACTGCTGTACTGAGAACGGACCACCACCCAAATAATATCTGGACAACAACATTCTTGTGGTCATCACTGAACAATGATGAATGAGGGAGAGGGAGGCTGATGAACTGTGCAGCAACAGTCTGTAATTGTACATCTATATAGTGGAGCTATAAGGTAGATAAAGTGGTCAGTGAGTGGAGGTTCAGTGTAGATGTTTCTAATAAAGTGGCCACTAAGTGGAAGTACAATGTAGGTGTTTCTAAAGAAGCAGCCAGTGAGTGGAAGTACAAGGTAGATGTTTCTGATAAAGTGGCCAGTGAGTTGAAGCAGAAGGTAGGCATTTCTAATAAAGTGGCCAATGAGTAGAAGTACAAGGTAGATGTTTCTGATAAAGCGGCTGGTGGGTGAAATGACAAACTATGTGCTTCTAATAAAGTGGCCAAAAAGTGGAAGAATAACCTAGGTGCTTCTAATAAAGTGGCCAGTGAGAGGAAGTAGAAGGTAGGTGTTTTTAATAAAGTGGCCAGTGAGTGCAGGTACAATGTAGGTGTTTCTAATAAAATGGCCAGTAAGTGGAAGTACAAGGTTGGTGTTTCTAATAAAGTGGCCAATGAGTGGAAGTACAATGTAGGTGTTTCTAATAAAATGGCCAGTAAGTGGAAGTACAAGGTTGGTGTTTCTAATAAAGTGGCCAGTGAGTGGAAGTACAATGTAGGTGTTTCTAATAAAATGGCCAGTAAGTGGAAGTACAAGGTTGGTGTTTCTAATAAAGTGGCCAGTGAGTGGAAGTACAGTGTAGGTGTTTCTAATAAAGTGGCCAGTTGAGTGGAAGTACAAGGTTGGTGTTTCTAATAAAGTGGCCAATGAGTGGAAGTACAATGTAGGTGTTTCTAATAAAATGGCCAGTAAGTGGAAGTACAAGGTTGGTGTTTCTAATAAAGTGGCCAGTGAGTGGAAGTACAATGTAGGTGTTTCTAATAAAGTGGCCAGTTAGTGGAAGTACAAGGTTGGTGTTTCTAATAAAGTGGCCAGTGAGTGGACGTACAATGTAGGTGTTTCTAATAAAGTGGCCAGTAAGTGGAAGTACAAGGTTGGTGTTTCTAATAAAGTGGCCAGTGAGTGGAAGTACAATGTAGTTGTTTCTAATAAAGTGGCCAGTTAGTGGAAGTACAAGGTTGGTGTTTCTAATAAAATGGCCAGTAAGTGGAAGTACAAGGTTGTTGTTTCTAATAAAGTGGCCAGTGAGTGTATATAGTGTATATCTGCAGTTGATGTAGGCAGATAAAATCAGGTAAGTCAGTGTTTGTGAGTAGGTCACAGGGTTTGGCAAAAAGTGGAGACAAACTGAAGCTGATTTTAAATGTTCTCTTTTATAAAAATCTAGTGAAGTGTAATACAATGTATTTCCAGCTGTGTGATGGAGTTTTGTAGATTTAGAGAGAATGAATGTTGAAGTGTGTGTCTGTGTGTGTTCTAGGCTATCTGGGCTACACCAGCGGTTTTTCTCTGAGCTGCATGGTCTTCTTCCTTATCTCGGTATGTCCTACTTACACACCAATCAGCTCTGAGAGTCCCACGGCAGCACGACTCATTACTGAGCACTCACACACTGTGCTGACTGAAGGAGATTTACACTCAGGCCTGATTGGTTCTGGGTCCAATCAGCACTTTATAATCCTTTTACTCAGCACAACAATTGAATATTTGCATCACTCTCTCCACAATATCCCCCCCCCACAACATCTCTCTCCCCACAGTATCTCCCCCCACAATATCTCCTACTCCACGGTATCTCCCTCTCCACAATATCTCCTTCTCCATGTTATCTCCCTCTCCACGGTATCTTCCACTCTACAATATCTCCTTCTCCACAATATCTCCCTCTCCACAATATCTCCTTCTCCACGGTGTCTCCCTCTCCACAATATCTCCTTCTCCATGTTATCTCCCTCTCCACGGTATCCTCCACTCTACAATATCTCCTTCTCCACAATATCTCCCTCTCCACAATATCTTCTTCTCCACGGTGTCTCCCTCTCCACAATATCTCCTTCTCCATGTTATCTCCCCCTCCACGGTATCCTCCACTCTACAATATCTCCTTCTCCACAATATCTCCCTCTCCACAATATCTTCTTCTCCACGGTGTCTCCCTCTCCACATTATCTCCTTCTCCATGTTATCTCCCTCTCCACGGTATCTTCCACTCTACAATATCTCCTTCTCCACAATATCTCCTTCTCCACGGTATCTCCCTCTCCATGGTATCTTCCACTCTACAATATCTCCCCCTCCACAATGTCTCCCTCTCCACAATATCTCCTCCACATTATCTCTTTCCCCACAATATCTTCCTCTCCATGGTATCTCCCTCTTCATTGTATCTCCCTCTCCACAATATCTGCCTCTCCACAACATCTCTCTCTTCAGCGTAACTACCTCTCATTTTTTTTCTCTTCCTTTCTCTCCTCTTCTGTTCTCTTCTCTTCTCTTCTCTTCTCTTCTCTTCTCTTCCTGTTTCTAGTAATTTTTACATCACCACTGCCTCAGTAAAGGCTAACTATAAAGCATGTAATGGTGTATAGACGCAATGATAATGTGGCATTATCTATTCTGGGCAGATTCTTGTTTCAGAGTATCAATGTCAGTAATACAGTTTTTGGTAATAATGATCTTATTGTGTTATGTTTATTTCAGCTCATGAATTTTTGTGAAATCGTAAGATACCGTTGGCCAGCATAAACATATTAGATGGGGACAAAGAAACTACATGGAGGACCAAATAAAACTCTCCACTAAAGTTGCTGTTCTTTCTCAGTATGGGTGGATAGATCGATCAATCAATCAATAGATAGATTAATTGATGGGTAGGCTGAATGGATTGGAGTGGATGGATGAATACATAGATTCACTGACTGATGAATGGTTGACGGATAAATGGATGGATGGATGAATCAACAAATGAATTAATGAGTCACCTGCTCTTCTCCCATCCCAGGTGATTTATAAGAAGTTCCAAGTGACATGTCCATTTGGAGAATTTGCCAACCGGACGATGGGTTTGAACATCAGTGCTGAACACAGCGAGTGCACTCCCCACATGTTCAACCTCAAAATCCAGGTGAGAGGCTGCACCTTATCTGGCCACAGATGGGCACGCTTACATTAAAAAATACACATCCTGGGCCAGGACTGTTAAACGTAAAGATCAGCCAAACATGCTAACGTGGCATATATATTAGTATGATATAATTTGCATCATGCTAATTGGAGGACTTGGATGGATGTTCTCGATTTCTAGAAAACCCAGCAAGTTCACCGTTGATCGATGAGCTACATTAAGGCCGAGCAGCGGGGGATATGGGAAAGAACTGGCATTTACTGGCTGAACGTGTCTTTCTTTCTTTCTATGCCTTCGTTTTTTTCTCTGTCCTTGAGTTCACTGAGTGCACTCTTTAAGATGGACCATTCAAACCGTCTTATTTACCCCATAGTGTGACCTGTACTTAGCTCACACCCACGGTTCATACGCTTGGTGACCGCAGACAGACACTTGGCGACCACAGACAGTGACCGCTCACACACGCTCTTCGCACTGATATTTATGCGTGTTCGAATGTGTTTTGCTGAACACTTCCACATATCAGTATTAGCATCCAAATAGGATGTGTTAGTCTAGGCTAGGTTCAGTGTGTTCTCCAGGCCGACTGGACTGGCATCCCTAATCAGCCGAGCGCTGGACCGCGTCCAGATCCGAGCCAACAATTAGTCGCCTAAACAATTATCCCTCTGTGAAGTGCTCCCATCTTTAATGGACTATGAAGTGGTGGGATGGTAGTTAAGGAGGTTGTGGTCGAAGCCTTGGTATCCATGGCGATGTGTTGTTTTGTTGTTTTTTTGGTCAGTGTGAGTGTTCATGCTCGTTTTGCTATCCTTGTGAGGACTACATGTCCTAACAGTGATAGGGCAACATGACATTTTTGCCCGAGTGAGGACATTTTGCTCACATCATTAATGGACTATGAAGTGGTGGGATGGTAGTCAAGGAGATTGTGGTCGAAGCCTTGGTAACCATGGCGATTTGTTTTGTTGCTTTTTTTGTCTGTATGTGCTGGTTTTGCTGTCCTTGTGAGGACTACATTTCCTCACAATGATAGGACAATATGACATTTTTGCTCAAGCGAGGACATCTTGCGAGGACATCCTCACTTGAGCACGTTTTCACCACAAATTTTTTATTTTTTTAGTAAAAACTAACAGGGCAGAAAAATTGCCTTTTGAAGGTTTAGGTGTACATGTACTATTACTTGGCTACAGTCATTACTCAATGAAAGTCCTCACTATTAATGTAAGACAAATGTATGTGTGTGGGTGTGTGTGTGTTTTCATACAGTTTCAAGACTAATATGTCCAGAAAATGAGAAAAACAAATGAGAAAAATGTTTTTTTAAAAAAGCAGAGCGTCATGGTTACGTTCAGTGTTAGGCTTAAAAAAGTCTTATTTCATATAAATACTTGCACATCTCATATCATTATTATGTTTAAGTACTGACATTTACACATATATCACTGCTGTCGGAACAAAACCTTGTATCTCTATTCTGTATCTATCTCGTTTTTCAGTTTTTGACATAATTTGAAAGTACTTGTTGTCCTTTACATTCTATGTAAATTTCATGACGGATGGACCAACAGAAATGACCCAAAATTACTTGGAAAAAAGTCTGGTTCCATTGACTTACATTACAAGTAGAGTATGTTTTTTCCTTCTCCTGTAAAGTTACCATTTTGGAAATACAAGGTTTCGTTCAGACAATAGCGATATATACATATGAGATATATTATTATGTCATACCGGTACTTACATGTAGTTAATGGATAGGGGACGTAGGTAGGTCCCCACATGCTGACACTATATATAAACTAACCTGTGTGTTTGCTTTTATAGACAGCCTACACTATTCCCATCCTGGCCTTTGCGTTTGTGTGTCACCCGGAGGTGCTGCCGATTTATACTGAGCTGCGCAAGTAAGTGATATGAACTGTTCTTCCTGATCTGAGATCAGTCACGGCTAAGGGTGTAAAATATATCAGTCTGAAGGTGGCGACTCAATTGCATTTATTTTGGAATGTTAGATCATAACTGTTTATAATAATAATCATCAAAGTATGAGCCTGTTTTTGGTTGGAATAAAATTCAGGCTGTTTTCAGATCCTTTTAAAAAAAGATTGATTTGGCCACTGATAGTTTCTCCAGCCACATTTGTGCTTTCAGTGTATTTTTGAAAGTAATTCTGTAAGAATCAAATCAATTTGTGGTGTAATTTGAGATTTCGTGATTCACTGAATCATTTTTTCCTAAAGAATCGCAATCGAATAGTTGTGAGGTCAGAGATTTACACCCCTAGTCACGACCCTGGCTGTGACATGAATGTGGTCACGCTGTGATTGGCTGCTCTGGGGTCAGGTGTGACTAATGCTCTGGATGGTATGACATAAATGCCTCTGCATTTTGCCTGGCTTGTCATTTCAGTCACCTTCACATTGCACAGTGATATGAGCTTAATGCAGAATGCAGCTAGCATGTTATGACTCATCTGAAGCTGCTGAGCCGAAGTAGACACAAGTTTTTTCTTTTCCAGTGCTGGCGTATCCCTACGCTGCATATTTTAGCGTTTCCTCTGCTCTAACACACTTCACTCAAGTCATCAGCTAATTTAAAAGCTGTTCTTGAGTATAAAATGGGGGTGTTAGAGCAGGGAAGACAGTAAAATATACACTGCAGGGAAACTACTTGAGCAAAACTGGAAAACGCTGGTGCAGACAGTCAGTTTTAACCAGCAGTTTCATGTAATATTTTCTTTCTTTGAGGTTTCATGAGTTTATCAGTATCTGCAAAAGTGCAGCTGGAAAATTGCTGATATTTCTGAGAAGTTTTATTCTAATGTGAGGAGCATAGCCTCTTTTTGGGGATTTCAGTGGCTCTTATGTCTTTATTTTACTGCTTTAACATGTTGTTTACGACTGTTAAGCAGCAGCCAGTTGCTCTGGTTTTCTCTATGGGTCGAATGAGCAGCGTTTTAGAAAATCGGCAATAGAAAATGTTCCAAAGCTGATACGTTTTGTCCTGTATACACACTTCCACCGAATTCTGAGGTTATTGAGTAGTTGAAATACAAGTAATGGTACATACATGCTGAAGCAAGCTCACACTCCTGCGCACTGAATGGACGTAGCATTAATGTGAGTCCTCTACTGCTTTTTCTACCCAGTTAGTTCAAACTCTGGTCCCACAGCAAAAACCTGTTTATATAAACAATTTAAGCATTTAGACCTTCGATATTTACAAGGAGTTATATTATGCTATAATAAAGATAGTAATAAGCTAAATATATACAGAATCACCATTTATTGGGTATGTTCGATTGGGAGGGGTCTGTACCAAAACTTAACCCCTAAATTTATGCTTATGAAAATAATATTGACTTTTTTTCAGTGTTGTTTTTTTACTTTTTTTTTAGAAAGTGAAGCTGAAAGATTTAGATTTATCAGGAGGTTAATTTTAATAAAAACACTTAAAAAAATGCTGCTGCATGTCACTACCGAAACACAGAGTTTTCGTATGTAGGCGGAGCTTTATTGTAGCCACGCCCCTGCATTTTAGAGCAGGAAGTGAGACTGCATCCCTATCCCTCATGGCCACATGGTGAGCAGTTAGATCCCATTGTCACTACCGAAACATATGTTTTCTGCTAATAAGTAATTTTTTTTGTGTTTTAATGAAAAATGTTATGATTTTATGTGTGTTCAGCTGTTCAAAGCTGTGTTTGGAAGTCATGTACTGGCTTTGTTTTTGAGTTTTGCTCAAAATTACTCATTACTAAAACATTTAGTAAAGTTTGGGTAGTGTTATGATTGTTCTGGAAGGAGCAAAATTGAATGTTCCCTCATTTGTTTTAATACAATAAACATAATTAAGGTAGAGGATCACTCAAAGCAAAAAAAAGATTTTAATCTGAAGTCCAAGTCAGATCTGAAAGGTAGAATGATCTATGTAGCAACATCAGCTACTCAAACTGCAGCCTTAAACTGCGAAAGCAGCTTAACTCCCACATTTGATAAGGCCTGCTGGTTTGTGTCGAGTACTATGGTGAGGTTGCCAGTCTTAACGTCTTTACACACTGAGCACGATTTATTCAGGTGACAGTAAATTAACTTGAGTGCATTTATAGCTGACGGTATCTTGCAGACCAAATGCGACTTTTTGGACAGTAAAAATGCAGCATTATTTTATTCACCCTCTGTTCAATTTTTGCAAACTTTTGGTTGCGACATGAGCTCACTGACCAGTCATGGCGTTGGCATGGCAACAACCAAGATGACAGATTGACTTTTTACAAAGTCAAAAGGATCAGAATCTCCAAAAGCAGCTCAAAAGGGGCTCAGACTGGACTGCAGACATCTCAGATATACTTGGAAGAACTTAAAAAAAAGTTTCAGCTTCTGAGTGAAGCTCTTCATGCTGCTTTCACTACTTTTTTCCAAAATGGAAAGCAGGATACTCAGCGTTACTGTTTGCCGCTTCTGTGAGGAGTAAAATAATATTTGCACTTGAAAACATTCTGTTCGTTTGTTCTTTGCTTCATCTCATGTGGAGCTGCATCTCCAAAAGCAGCTCAGTCTGAGTTACGGAGATTGAAGCTGTGAGAGAAAGAGATCGGAACGTTTAAGCCCCTGAATGAAGTGGAGAAACTCCTCGTTCAGTTCTCGATTTTCCAAAGTGGAAAGCTTCCCACACAAAGCCAAACTGCCTGTAAATGACTCTTTGATAGATGTTATTTAGTGGTGCGAACAACATGTCAAAGTATTAAAAATATATATGCGTCACTTTCGGTGTGTAACGTACAGAGCCGCCCTGTGACATCCTGTACAAATTAAAATAATGCGTAGCCACAACTAAGTAAGATATGGGAACAAGATAATTAAGTCGTGGCCATGACTTGTTAAGGCGTGGGAATGAGATCCTAATGCGTAGCTACAATTTAGTAAGGGGTGGGAACGAGATCCTAATGCATTGCCACAACTTAGTAAGGCGTGGGAACGAGATCCTAATGCATGGCCACAATTTAATAAGGCGTGGGAATGAGATCCTAATGCGTGGCCACAACTTAGTAAGGTGTGGGAACAAGATTCTAATGCATAGCCACAACTTAGTGAGGCATGATGTCATTCCCATGCCTTACTAAATTGTGGCCATGACTTAATCATCTCATTCCCACGCCTTACTAAGTCGTGGCCACACATTAGGATCTCGTTCCCACATGTTAGTAAGGTGTGGCCACACATCATTTTTATTTATATGGGATGTCACCAGCAGGGCTCCATGGTAACGGCCTTCATGGTGTCTATTCAGTGCAGTGCTTGCTTTCGTGTGGAGTTGTATTTCTACTCCTTAGTGACCTGATAGTAGAAGAAATATGTACAAAGGACAAAATGGATCAGCTTTGGAATTCACGAGGTGAGACAGCGATGATTTTCAAAAACACTGTTTATTTTTTTCCCATAAAGAGAAACAGTTCAGACCTGGAGCTCCTTATATGGGCGTGTCAGCGGCTACAGACCGTTGACAGTCCTGACACGTCTGTTAAAGAACAGTGATCAACCTCAACATGAAACATCATAACAAATATGTGTGAAGTGCATTCAAACTTAGTTTTCAGCATAAGGACAACACGGTGCAACACAAAAGATGAGAACTGATAGAACTGAAAAGAAAATGAAGACAGCAAATGAACAGAAGCTAATAAAAGTGATTAATGAGAAGCTCCGCCACCATTAATACAACGTTTATCTTAAGAAACCTGACAGCTGACAACAGATAATCATATCAGTCAGTAAAGCAGCGTGTAACTAAAACCATGGCGTCTGTATGTAATTTCATATTCTTGACCATTCGCCTATATTATATTATATTATATTATATTATATTATACTGTATGTATTTATGGATGAAAGGTTATGGGAGAAAGTAAAGACGTATGGAGGATTTTTACTTTCTGGACCTGATTTAAAGTTGTATGCAAAAGTTTGGGCACCCCTCGTCAATTTATTTTTTTTTAAGTGAAAATAAGTAACACATCCTTTACAGAGAACACACTTAAAGTCATATCAGTCATAAGGAGTGCTTTTTAAATGAGACACAATACTGGACAGCCAATCAGAACAGAGATAATTTGCATATCACTGTTGTCAGAAGAAAACCTTGGTAACTTTACAGGAGAAAGAAAACATACTTTACTTTTAATGGAAGTCAATGGAAGCAGACTTTTTTCCAAGTCATTTTGGGCCGTTTCTTTTGGTCCGTTCATCATGTAATTTACACACAGTGTAAAAGGCGACAGGCATTTTCAAATTATATCAAAAACTGAAAAATACAATACAAGATTTTGTTCTGACAGCAGCGATATTTCAGTCTTAAAGCCACAGCAAAAAAACAAACGTTTAAATTCTAAGAGATGAAGAGGCGTGGGAAAATTAATGTGTAAAAAGTAGACACTTAAAAAAGATGGTTCTTCAAGGGTTCTTTGGTAAAGAAAATGGTTCTATATAGAATCATGAACACTCAAAGAACCCTTTGCACGATTAAAGGATTCCTTGCAAGGCTAAATGGTTCGTCAGATTGATGGAGAACGTGCTGTAGATGGACCCTTTTAAAAAAGGTTCTATATAGAACCAAAAAGGGTTCTTCTATTGTTACAGGTTTGAGATCATAAAAACAGAAGAACCCTTTTTGGTGCTATACAGAACCCTTTTGAAAAAGGTTCTATATAGAACCATCTACAGCATATTCTCCATCAGTCTGAGAAACGCTTTAACAATGTAAAGAACCCTTTAATTATGCAAAAGATTAGTTCAGTGTTTGTGGTTCTATATAGAAACATCTTCTTTACTAAAGAACCCTTGAAGAACCACCATTTTTAAGAGTGTAGGACTGTTTTGGTGCATAAAACAACACAAATGTAATGAGTGGACCTAAAGGGAAAATATAAGCAACAAATGTAGTAGATTTTAGTGTATAATTTCTGTTTTCATATAGTGGAAAAAGTAAAATATTAAATAAACATTAAATAAAATGTGCACAAGACACATTTGTTTAATATATTAAATTCAGAAATTGTGCATTAAAATGTACAGAGGTGTGTTTTTTGTAGAGGATGTGCTAAAACTTTTGGATCCAGCGGCACCTCTAATTACATCCAATCAATCAATCAATCAATCAATCAACCTTTATTTAACCTCGGACAACACTGAGGGTGACCCCCTTATTTACAATGTTGCCGAGTTGACACAGGAAAAAGGGACTGATAATATGTAAGAACATATCAAATAATGAAAGTGAATTTGATAATAAAAATGACTCAAATCAGGTAAGTATAAAAATTAAAACTAAATAAAAAAAAATAAGTTTAAAAAATGGAAAATTTTACATTAATAATAAAAATACATAAAAACCAGTAGAAAATATAAAACAATAAGGCGTAACTAAAATGTTAAAGTTGATAAAATCAAAAGAAGATAAATAAATATATATTATATTATATTATATTATATTATATTATATTATATTATACCTGTCCAGGGTGTATCCTGCCTTCCGCCCAATGACAGTTGGGATAGGCTCCAGCTCCCCACCGCGACCCAGAAGGATAAGCGGTTTAGAGGATGTGTGTATGTGTGTGTATATTATATTATATTATATTATGTTATTATATTATATTAGCAGTTTTCTGTGCTTTTAGGCCCTTTATTTCTGTATCAGCATTGGTGACAAAATGTTCATATTAGCCAGGAGACAGAGAAGCTCACAGTGGTGACTAAACTGGAGTCGTACAGAGATGAAAAGAGTGGTGAGATGGTCAATCGAGGTTACAGGACAGCCTAAAGAGAGAGAGAGAGAGAGAGAGAGAGAGACAGTGAGACAGTGAGTGTGTGTGTTCTCTGATTTCAGCCCCACCAAGAAAAAGATGCAGCATGTGTCCAACATCTCCATCGCTGTCATGTACGTCATGTACTTCCTGGCTGCGCTGTTCGGATATCTGACCTTCTACGGTGAGGCGGGCCGGGTCACCAGCCGGGTCATTTCACTCCTTCTTTACTCCTTTCTTTCTTCCTTTCTTTCTTTTAAAAGTGGAAAAAACAGTGGGAGTGACGCACTGAAGGTAAAAACAGCATGTGGTTACTGATTTTGCATGAGGTAACTGATCTCTGCTGTCGCTTCGAATTCTCTCTTTTTTTATTCGACACTCATTTCTCACTGTTTACAAAGCACTTTACAGGACATCCCACCAGTGGAGTACTGTGTTTGTCAGAGCATACGTTTTTGAAGAATTCGTGCACAGTATATTTAAATATATGTAAATGTTTAAATGAAAGTCGTATATCTGGTTTTTGTTTAATGGTTTAATGGTGAAAACATTCAGTGCATTGGTAGCTTATCTTGAGTCGGGATGCATAATGATTTCTGAATCTTACTGATACCAGCAGATGTTTAGATTAGACTGCATTTTATTTATTTTACAGCATTTGTAATCTTATACAAATAAACTATATGTTTCTCTGCATTGATAATCCAGGTAGGTCTAGTTCCCAATTTCTACATTTTATAATACTTTATGTATTGGGATCAGCAGATATGTACATAAATATTGTATATATTGGCACTGGCCCATCTCTAATCATAAGTAATGATAATTATACCTAATTACCCTGTTAAAGAAAGGAAAATTAATAAACAAGATTTTTTTTCCTCTGAGTTGCACACACTTGTGAAATATATATATATATATATATATATATATATATATATATATATATTATAGTATAAATGTTATAACATAAATCAGGCTTATATTTTCATCATTGATGGACACGTGTATCAGCCGGTCTTTACAAAGAAAGACTTTTTTCTTGTGCATGTATTCTTTGAAAATTTATGGTGGCATAAAAAGGTATTCTGTTGGTGAAATGTGTCTTAATTACTGTGATTAGACAATATTTTAGTAAAACTGAACTAATATTGCTCAGGTATTTGAATATGAAGCCAGTTCCTGAGTGATTTTTCCTTTAGCAATTGTAAGATTAGATCAGTGCTCCCTCTAGTGGTCAGAAGAGAACATGGCACTCAGTGGTGCGTAAACCAGAGCTCAAATGTTTATAGGCTTTATACTCGATGCTTTGTTAATAATCACACAGATATTCCCAATGTTTTCCATAACTCTTTGTGCCTACGTGTGTGTGTGTGTGTGTGTGTGTGTGTGTGTGTGTGTGTGTGCGTGTGTAGATAAGGTGGAAGCCGAGTTGTTACACACCTACAGCAAGATCGACCCGTATGACACTCTGATCCTGTGTGTGCGTCTGGCTGTGCTGACCGCTGTCACACTCACCGTGCCCATCGTTCTGTTTCCTGTGAGTCAGCAACCTCTCTCTCTCTCTCTCACACACACACACACACACACACACACACACACACACTCACACACATACACACACACACTCTTTCTCACACACACACACACACACACATTCACACACTGGTTTTAATACATTGTCAGGATGTGGGTTTCCACCTGTATTACAGTGGGTCCTATATGTATATATACACTCTCAGAAATATTGGCACAAAACCGCCACTGGGTCAGTGCCCCTCTTGTCACTGGGGTGGGACACTCAAGGGTACATCTCAGTACCTTTAGTCAGGGAACATAACTGAACCATAATCCATTGAAATGATATGTTCTAAACTGTACTGACTCCACACACCCCGTCTCGTCTCCAGGCTTTTATTTTACTGTTCTGTTTTAAATCATTCGGTTATGAAAAGGTACAAATACAAACTTTTCATCTGGAAGAACTTACTTAAGGTTCACAATCAGACCTTAAAACCACTGTTGTACCTTTGAGGGAACATTTACACTGTTTGTACCTTGATGAACGAAAAATGTGCCTGCGCAGAACCTTTATTACTAACAGTGTATTTATTTATTTATTTATTTATTATTTCTCTCTACATTAGGAATTTTTCTAATTTCAGGAACCGAATAGAAATGATCATACTCTTTCAGTTTACAAAAGGAATTATGTAGCTTTTATTAAAAACAACACTTTACAAAATAATTTTATTCCTGTAGGTTAGTCATGTTTTTCTCTGGTTTTAAGTCATTTTTGTGCTGAAAATTGGCGTCGGAAGTACAGAAAAAATATCATATTACAATATTTTAAGACATTTTCCTGATACACAATATGCGTCACAGTATTTTGACACACAGGCAAAGTGTGCAACTGGTGCCACATTTAAAATTGCTATCAGGAACTCTGGAAACAGTGACTTTTATACAGTATTTCAGACGCTGCACTAAATCACGTTAAACAGGACAAACTCTGCTCTCTTTATAATCAAACTTTCAGTTGTTCATTTTTTTAAATATTGATGATTTTTACAGTATACTCAGAAAAGCACATTATTTACAACAATAACAAAGGTTATCACAATAATGATAAAATATCATATTGCCCACCTACAAGCACACTTGTATTGCTCTGTACAGTACCACACTTACTGATTAAGTCAAATCCAAATATCTTCAGGTTTAGATTACTTTAGACAGTAAGCCGTCAGGTGGCTTCTTGCAGCTTTTACAAACTCTTGATCGTTCTCTCAATCAGCTTTATGAGATGTTTTTCCAACATACACATCTACGCATATGCTCCCCCAGCATGGCTCAGGGCATTTAAAAAAAATAATATTTCAATTAAAAATGTTTGTTTTGGAAGAAACTCGTACACAGGCATGGACCTCACATTTTGTCTTTGTATGAAAAACATTATTTCAGTTGACTTGTGTACTTTACACAAGAGTAGTACACAAGACATCTGCTTTTCTATTAAGAACTTTCTAGGACGTTTGCCCTCTACTGACACACTGACAAAGCAATAAGGTCTGACTCTTGTGTTGGTCTACGTGTGACCCATGTTTACAAGGCAGCAGGTTTGGTGTGAATCTCTCTGGTTTGTAATCTTCTGTGATGTTTTGCGCTGTGCAGGTGAGGAGAGCCATCCAGCAGCTTTTCTTCCCCAATAAAACGTTCTGGTGGCCGAGACACATCGCCATCGCCATCGTCCTTCTCACCACCATCAACCTGCTGGTCATCTTTGCCCCCAACATCCTGGGCATCTTTGGAGTCATAGGTCAGTTACACTATGCTAACACCGTGCTTGATTTTCATGGTGATGCTGATTAGAGTTTTAATCTGGCCTTAAATTGTTTGGCCCAAAAATAATTTTTACAAATTTCAGTCTGATCCTGAACCGCCCTGACACACGCCCTGAGTCTCAACTCGACCTGAGTCCAACAAAATTCTGTCCAAACCTGACCCAAACCACGTCATCAACTTTTGAGTCCGAAATTGAACAGCTGTCCAAAAGTTAAAGTCGCGCTTTAATGACTTTATTTATTAAAAGATGCTCTTGAACAGAATATCTGATCTTTTTTAGTCTGTATTAACTTTCCATACTGTTCTTTTTTCATGCTGAGCGGTGCCGAGATGTCACCTCCACCTTTTTAGTCCTAAAACTCTGTCTTTACACTCTGTCTTTTAGTTTTGTGTTGAACAAATGAAATGTTGTATTGGTTGCACTAAACTGACAACTTGTAATGGATTCACTGTTTATTTGATGGTTTTCTCTCATGCGTGGGCTTCGTGGACCTCAGTGCTGAGTGGGTGACTCCAGTGTGGCAGGTCAAAAACGATACTAGGTAGTGAAAGTAGAGAAGAATAAAGTAAGAAGTGAAGCTAAAGCAGAGGGAATGCAGGTAAAATCTACTGAAAGTGGGAGACTGGCTGTGAGAACCCGAACACATTTGGAAAACCATGTCCGAACCCAACCAAACCCAGTGTTAGCAGGCAGGTCCCTATTGGAATCAGACAAATATTTCAAGCCCATATAATGATACCGTTGATTTTTAGATGTTTGTTTATTTATGTCATCTGAGAATTTTGCTTAGATGAATAACAAGCAAACACAAAAAACGCTCTGATTAGGGACTATTTCCTATGAAAACGTGCAGTAGGGCTGCTATAGATGCTAATCATACAGTACAGAAGAGAAAACAGGTGCTGTAGAAACAGGAAATATGAAGTACGGGTGCTGGTATGTGCAAATGACCTGATGACCTGTCCTCGTATATCCGCTAAAATATGCAATTTAATCCATTTGTATTCTATTGTTTCACAGTTACCTCAGAATAAAGTCGCTCACACCAGTGACTTCAGCTAAAAGCTTCATATGAAGTCATGAGCTAAATGAGAAAATCTCTGATAACTGAAAGACACAGTGGATCCTCAAAAAACAGGTAAAAGGAAGTCGAGTGATGTCATCAGTGTGACTTTTATTTCAAAATAAGAGATTTTTTGTTACGCGGTAACACCAGTGACACGACTCCTGGGGACCACAACTTTCATTATATATTTTATAATATTTATTTGGCGTTTTCTAATGTCATTTAAATCATGTATTTCATAATCATGTATAAATGATTGCAGTTAAATTTGTAGAAAAACATATGGCCTCACCCTTTACACGACTGTGAGGCTGAGCACTTCTGTGGGGCTTGGAATTTTATATGATTGATTTAAAAACCAATACTGCTAAATTGAGGCTCAACGTGTTTTTCAAGTTTAATATATCTGTAAAGGCTAAGAACACAAAAATAGACATTTCCATAGAATGACTCAAGTACAGGCACTGGTATGTGCAAATGACCTGACGTTGTAAAACGTCTTCGCACTTCTAGCTCCACTTTATTGCTAACTATGCTAGTATTTTTGGCAAAAACTGTCCCTTTCAGTCCATAATCCCTCTCTTGCTGAGCTGAGCGAAGACGCCTCCCTCCAGTTGCGCACTTTTAATCTCTGCAGTGACTACAGGAGCTCTGAATACAAATCCTGTGACCGTTACGCAACTGGACCTGTTCAAATTTGGATTCATTTTTTTTGTCTGACCTTTGGCCTAAATCTGCCTTGTTCTCTGCCCCCTTGTGCAAGTTCGCTATGCTCCTCTCAGAGACAAACTCACTGGGCTTGTTCCAATTCAGCTGTGCCTCATTTTCCCTAAACACTCACCATTCAAAGCTTCAGGGCTGTGGGGCTGCACACTTAGCATTTTCAATCAATCAATGTATCAATCAATCAATCGATAAAAGCTTTGTCTTTGAGAGGCAGTTTTATCAGATATAGTTTTACATAAACTACAAACAACACACCTTTTATACCCCCCTTTATACCCCTTAAAAATAGATGGCAGTGTAGCATTAAAGGGCCCATATCATGGAAAAACAAATATTTGCTCACAAAGAGTTTGATATAGTATTTAAACAGTAATTGTTTTTGTGACGTCACAAAAACCAACAAATTTGCTTTTATTCACCTATTTAGCCTACGGCACTTTACCCCACCCATTCATACAAAATCTATAACAAGTCTTTCAGCCCTGACTGCTTTCTGAACAAGGCATAATACAGGGCAGCCAATCAGAACAGAGTTAATTTACATATAATATTCTTAAAGGTACAGTAACAAAACAGGCTGTTTAATTCTAAGGGATAAAGGGGATTTGAAAATGGTTATTAAAACATGAATTATGACTGCTTTTGGTGCATAACACCAACTAAATGTATTATAAGTAGACCTCAGGCCCTTTAATAGCTGGCCTACACAAAGACCCTCACAGAGCAGGTACTATTTGGGTGGTGGATCATTCTCAGCACTGTAGTAACACTGACATGGTGGTGGTGTGTTAGTGTGTGTTGTGCTGGTGCGAGTGGATCAGAAACAGCAGTGCTGCTGGAGATTTTAAACACTGTGTCCACTCACTGTCCACTCTATTAGACACTCCTACCTTGTCAGTCCACCTTGTAGATGTAAAGTCAGAGACGATAGCTCATCTGCTGCTGCACAGTTTGTGTTGGTCATCCTCTAGTCCTTCATCAGTGGTCACAGGACGCTGCCCACAGGACGCTGTTGGCTGGATGTTTTTGGTTGGTGGACTATTCTCAGTCCAGCAGTGACACTGAGGTGTTTAAAAACTCCAGCAGCACTGCTGTGTCTGATCCACTCAGACCAGCACAACACACACTAACACACCACCACCACGTCAGTGTTACTGCAGTGCTGAGAATGATCCACCACCCAAATAGTACCTGCTCTGTGAGGGTCCATGGGGGTCCTGACCACTGAAGAACAGGGTAAAAGGGGGTAACAAAGTATGCAGAGAAACAGATGGACTACAGTCTGTAACTGTAGAACTACAAAGTGCACCTATATAGTAAGTGGAGCTGATAAAATGGACAGTGAGCATAGAAACAAGGAGGTGGACATAATGTTATGCCAGATCAGTATGTATGTATGAAAATACATATACAGTCATATGCGAGAGTTTTGGTGTCCCTGGTCAAATTACATGTTTTGTTGATATTCTTAGTGCAAATAAATGAACACGTTTTTTACAGAGACACACTTCGCACATTTCAATACATATTTACTGTTTATTTACTGACTTTAACATACTGGGGGAAAAAACATAAAACGTGGCCTCTGCAAAAGTTATGGCACATTTTATGCTTCATGTTTTATTGTTTTCCAGAGCAAATAAATATAAATTGTGCACTTATTTACAGAAAAAATGTCGTATTTTGTTTGTTGAGCTTGCTCTCAGTAGAGGATGTGTTACTTATAGAACACTGACAAAAATCCGGCCACACCTAACACACTTTGCGTGTTTTTGTTTATTCTCTCCAGGTGCTACATCGGCCCCGTGTCTCATCTTCATCTTCCCGGCCGTTTTCTACATCCGGATCATTCCCAAAGAAGACGAGCCCATGCGCTCGGCTCCAAAAATCCTGGTGAGAGCCGACACGTGCATCACTTTAACTCATATTCTTACATACATCTCTACCCAAGGAGGCTGAAGTCCCTTCCATTTTTATTTAAAGGAAGGCTTCACTTTTCCTAATTTTTTTAAATGAAAGGGTTAAGTGTAGTATTTAAATTAATCTGTTAAATTAATCTTTGAAATGAATCCAAGCTGCTAAAACAGCCCATTTGGAATTCTTTGTTTTTGTGATGTCACAAAAACCAGCATGTTTACAAATATTCAGCTATTCAGACCAAAGCACTGCCTATTTATCTATAAGTTATACAGAGTGTTTCAGTCTGTGCTGCTTTTTTTGAACAAGACACAATATAGGGCGGCCAATCAGAAGAGAGCTGATTTACATATATTGGTCTTAAAGGCGCAGCAACAAAAGCAGCCTGTTTAATTCTAAAGGATAAAGAAAGGTTGGAAAATGATGTGAAAATGAATTCTGTTTGTTTTGGTACATTAAACCTCTCTCTCTCTCTCTCTCTCTCTCTCTCTCAGGCTGCCTGTTTCGCAGGGCTGGGTGTATTGTTTATGATAATGAGTCTGAGCTTCATCATCATTGATTGGACATCGGGGAGCAGCAACGCAAGCAGTGGGCACTAGGCCCCGCCCATTTTTATTTTTCTTTGTTAAATAAGATCTGTTGTGTATTTTTATGTCCTGTGTAGTCCGGGGTCAGGACCGGCAGAGCACGCATAATCTCTCAGTGCAACGTCAGTGTCTGGCACACTCAGTATCGTAAAGCCTGCAGGCTCACCCTTAAAGTTATCACATAAAGAAGAAGAAGAACATTATTCTGGCATGAGGGGCTATATTCTACTATACCATCCTAAAACTGACCAGCTGCACCGTCTCTGTGGTCTGTTGGAAGCGGAAACCTCACTCGAGCCTCAGCAGGGAACTGGAAGTTCCACAGAATGACCCACAATGACTCATAATGACGCAGATGCAGTAGTGATGGGCAGTGCTGCTGAGAGAGATTATGCATTCTCGCCAAACTGACCCCAAACAGCCAACCCTCCCATCCTCGTCCACTTTCACAGATTTATTTGAAGTGACCTCTTTGACCCCAGACTGGCATCATTAAAGTAGTTCTTTTGTTTAGTTTTTGTTTTTTTGAGGGGTAGGGGGTGGCCGGAATTGACCTCTCCATGCTTCTCCCACAAATATGTTCTTCAATAGCAACTGTTGCTAGGTGGGGCAAGCTTTACAGAACCTACATCAAGTACATAATCTTTGCTGCAATAACTGTTTCTGTTATTTGTTTCAGGCGTAGATTTTACAGCTACAGCGTGACTAAACTGTCCCCTAACATCATAGAGACTTAGTGATATTTGACAATTTGGTCACAAAATGGAAACAAAAAAGCGAATTTCATAATAGCATATAATAGCATGTTAGTGCTAAGCTAACACAGATGCACATGAACCTTTTTTGGCTGTGCTACATTAAACACGGATATTTGGAGCTTGCAAAATACATTATTTCACCTTGTATCTGTTAGTTCTGCTCTGACTCTTTCAGGAAAGAGGCCTAGCATAGAGCTGCCGGCGCTGTTTTCCATTCCTAACAACTAACTGAAACCTGGGCGACAGCTCGTATTCACAGACAGTGAAGTATGTAGAACTTCTAGAAGAACTACAGTGATGTGTTTCTCATTAATTTAGTCCCATTGTAATTGTAATTGGTTGATTTCTCTGTTACTTCCTAATTATGTTGGTAGTTAATCTTATGTGTAAGGCCTTTAGTCCAGCTCCTGAAGCCCTAACCAATGGGAGAGCATGCTTGGCTATATCTACCTAGACACCACAGAAGAAAAAAATCCTGATTGAAAAGTTTTTTATTGGGGCAATTCAAGATTTTAACCCTCTTGTTTCCAACCAAAACTTGAAATAAGAGTAGTTGTCATAGTTTAGGCCTTCTTTGAAGGTATTGAAGCCCTGAGGTTCCCCACTGAATGTCTATATGTATATCATCAAATCCTACAGACTAGCTTTGGCTGTGCTAGATTAGCTAGTGTGTTGACGACGTTAGCCTAGTTAGCAGAACTGTTTCTCGTTAAGTGCGGTGAGATTTTTGTTAACGTTCTGTCCAACCTAACAACAGTTGCTATGAACACATTTGTGGGCGGAGCATGAATGGATGGGCTGGTGGTTGGTGTATAAATGTAGGTGCCTGTGGTACGTCAGTCCACTTTGATGAATTTACTGTCCGTCCTATCTTTGACCTTGGCAATAATCTCTGCAGCAGCCTAGAAGGCCGTTGCTATGACAGCGCTTGGTCGTGTCGACCCCCATGATCTTTGACCCTGCTCTCTCGGTCAGTTGCTGTTGTAGCGAATAGCATCTATAGCACAGTCCCCATGTGACACATATGCAAACTGTACATACGGTGAGTTAAAATACGTGCGTGAGTCATTTTTATATGTGAGGATTTATATATTGTTCATAATTTCTATATCATAAAGTATAAAGGTATATATATAAATATAGGGGCATCATGTGACAGTGATGTGTTTGCTATTCATCCAGAAGCATATCAGCTCCAAAATGGGGTTTAGAACTGAAAAAAACAAAAAAGAAACCCTGAAAAACAGAGTTAGCTTCTGCTGAAGTGTTAATAATCTACTGTAGAGTAAAAAATGGAAAGCACATCTTGAAAAGCACAGTAAGCTCATGGTCTGGGGTCAACACTGCCATGCTAATGTGTACAGACTGACCCTACGGCAGATTCTCGCTGTCCAGCAGGGTGTGCTGTTGAGTTGTTTCTGAAAATCTGCTGAAAGTAGGAAGAGATAACCAAAAAACAAATGAAAATCCTAAACATACAGGGTCGTCTCCTACAGCGGAGAAACAGCAGTGAAGGGTGTAAATATTGTGATCGCAGGACTGGCCTGATAAAGCTGACAGACGTGCGGTAGAAACTTTTCGAGACGAGTTTAGAGATGTGACCTCTCCGTCGTATCTTTTTGCTCGCTCTTTCAGTAGTGAGTATTTATGTCGTTGTCACATGGTCGTGCTTGTCAGATAGATGGAACTTCGGCCTCCGAGGATCGCAAAACAATAATTCAGCTAAATATAAACATATTTCAGTACATATGTCACTTTCTGAAAACAAAGACAAAGCACTTATGAACATAAGTCATATTTCCTGTTCTAATTATTTAATTTTGTGGGTTAGGGAGTCGTGCCAGTGTACAGCTGATTGAGATCAGGCTTTAATTAAGCTAAAATTTGGCTAAACAATTCAGAATTTTAAAAAAATCAATGCAAATGGCACTTTCTAAAAAACAGAAATACATTTATGAACGTGGCCAATATTTTGTATGATCTAATTCTTTAATTTAGTGTATCGTTCTAAAGAACTACACCAGTCTAAGGCTCTAGGAGGCTGAAATTCAACTAAAATTATGCTAAAATTCAGCTAAAATACAGCTAAAATTAAGATTTCTTTCAAAAAAAGTCAGTGCACTTGCACTTTCTGAAAACAAACAGAACTGGACCTATGAACACAACTCTTTTTTCGTATTTTGTATGTTTTATTTCTTTCTAAGTTGTGTATTACTTTAAAGAATTACCAGAAATAGCTCAAATTAAGCTCAAATTATTGATTTTTATGTGTTTTTAATAGATAAGGCACTTTCTGATTAAAAAAAACAGAAATGCACTTATTAACAAAAGCTGTATTTTAAAGAATGCCACAAAACTGAATGCTGAATGAGACCAGATGTCATAGCTGGTATTGAAAAGTTATTAATGCACATAATGTATTGATCAAAAATTGCATATAAACAAATAATGCATTTGTTATCGTTCTGTATTGCTACTCCACGAGGCATAAAATGAATGAAACGAGCACCAATTTGGAGATTTTTTGCGGAATTCAGGCTGGGGCTGGGTATCATTCAGAAATATGATTTGATATCAATACCAATATCTTGCCTTCTTTGCTGATTCCTGAGCTAAATTTTTTGAATTTTTTTAACTTACAAAAAGAAAGTTAAAGGCTTAAACCAGCACTGAGTGCTGGAAGTGAGAATATTTACTGATTGCACAACAGTAAATATGAAATGACATGGTGAATTTCGATACCCAGCCCATCTCAGGCCAGTTCTTGACTGAGCACGAGCATCTGACAGCGACTGAACCAGTAGCTCTAGCACTTTCTGCTGTAAAGCACAATTTAGAGCCATTAAAACACTTACCTGCTCTAGAGACCAAGTGTAATCTATGATAAACTCATGAATTAATATATTTTATAGATAAGAGTTATATGGCCTTCGTACTACTAATTATAAAATGTTTCAAATGACTGTGTGTGTGTGTGTGTATGCAAAGCCCTCAGTACCTAATGCATTTATATGGATGTTGAACATTGTAAAGGAATGTTTTGACCTCAATAACATCTACCTTTTTATACACTACGTACAGTACTGCGCAAAAGACCACAACAAAAGAGACCACCCTTAATTCATTTAATTTCCAGTCAAAATAGCCATTAAGTGCAAATGATTCATTTTTCAGTATCATAAAAAGCACAAAATCTGTTTGACAGAAAATCACACTTTATTTTCCAATGTTTAGTGTGTTTCTCAAAGAATCTGCAGACACACCTCCAAAGTTCAGTCTTAGAAGCTGGTTGATGATTTTCTGAAGTAATCAAACACATTCAGTGGTGTTGAGGTCTGGACTCTGGGGTGGTCAGTCCATTGTTCAGCTTCTTTGTTTGATGTGTCCGTCTCCTTTTCTCAGTGAGGTTCTTCTTGACAGCTAAACATCCTTTCAGACCCACAGCGCTGAGTCGTCTTCTCACGGTGGAAGGATGGACAGAAACACCTGTGGACGTTTTCAGATCTGAAGCAGCTTGATTTTCTCCTCTCTCTCAAAGATGAAAGCTTTAAGTGCTGTTTATCTGATGGGGGCAGTTTTGGTGTCCACCAGGTCTTCCATGTGGTTGTTAGGAGTCCAGTTTATTCTGATTTGACTTTCTCCTTCCCTGTGCCAGGGGATTACCTTATATCTAATATCCTCATAAATGTCTCCTGAAAATTGAACAACTTGTACTTAAAGTCTATTTTGACTGGAAAATAAATAATTGATGGGTGGTTTCTGACTTTTGCACATTACTGTAGGCCCAACAAACAACCAGTGGAAAGTATTGCGAGTGTGTATGTGCGGCGTCTGTCCCCTCCATGATGTGGAAAGTGTAGTAGAACTCAGTCAGTGGATGTACTGTGAGTAACATGCAGTATCTGTAATAAGAAATACATGTGTAGTTAACTTGTGGTACTTTTTCACTAATTGTGTGAAGTGTTCAGTGAACAGATCGATCCATGACGTGTGCGAGTGAGTGACTGTTGTGTAATTTACCCCAGTGTCTCTGCTCAGTGGTTTAAACGTCCCTGCTGCTGCTGTCGGAGGCTCAGAGTCTGAAACATAATGCACTGAAATGCGTGAAAGTTCCAATCAGAAACTACTGAAGCACCAGGGTCGCATATACTACTGTTCAAAAGCCTAGAATCACTGTTTTCAATCATATAAAACCAACCTTTTTGCAGGTAAATGACTAAAATTATTGTAATATATTGTCTTCACAGGAAAAAACAAATATTAGAAATGTTCAGAATGATAAACAGAGCTGTAGGTGGCTGTGAAATGAAATAGAACATCAAGAATGAAGTTCTAATAAAATTAAAAGTGATTTCTTGCAAATTTCTGTATAATTCAGTAGTTGAAATGTAAACGGAGTCATTTAAAGTGGTTTGCTGTGAAATGGTTGATTTTAGAGACTCAGATGTCTTTACAGTGGTGGTGATAGGAACCAGGGGTCGCCATGACTACAACACAAATATAGCCATTATATTTATTATCCAAAACCACCAGTGAACCTACATGAATCTTCTGAAAACAGGGTTTTAGGCCAAAACTTTATCTTATGCATTTAATGTAATGACTTTCTATGAGGGAGCTTTTAGAGGTGGACGTCTGGTTCCTATCACCACCACTGTGAACAATTCTGACTCTGTAAGTTTCTCTAGGACAGAGCATTTCACACCAAACCACTCTGAATGACTCTGTTTACATCTTAACCATTCAATTATGCAGAGATTTTGCAAAAAAAATAAAAAATCAAAACCATCAAATCTCAAGGTGGATTAATTAAGTGTTATTGTTTGTCTGGGCACAGAAATTGACCTTATAGCTTCATACAGTTATAGAAATTTTGGATGTGTCCAAAAAGATGAATGGAGCTGATTTGACAGTAAATAAATAAATTTAATAAATTGTCAAAAAATGTAAGTAGAAAATTGACATTATTTATTATTTAATAACACAAAATACTTGAAATATTGAATAAAAGTAGAGAAATTATGATGCCACTTTGTGTTAAAAAAGTAGACTATTAAAATAAATAATCATTCTAATGTAATATTTATCTAGATACCTGTTGCTCTAAAATTAGCATTAGGCTACATGTTGTTAAGTTATCACATCACTTACTTTACTCTGCTTTTGGAATTTTTACCCTACAGACAATTTTATTACAAGTTAGATATTTCAGGTTAGATTTGAATCTAATCCGATTTACTCTTTTTTATCCACCAGTGTAAATGTAGCGTGTAAACATTGTGTCACAACTTACAATTCGCTCTCCAGTCCACACAGTCTATATATGGGAAACTAAGCTCATTTTGAATGTACTGTTTTTGTGATGTCACAAAAACCAACACATTTACCCACCTATTAAGCCTACATCAAGTTAGTCCCGCCTCCTCTGAAGTTATAAGGAGTGTTCCAGCCCAGGCCGCTTTTAAATGAGGAGCTACACAAGACAGACAATCATTTACTCATACTAGTCTTAAGGGCACAGTTACAAAAACAGCCTGATTAATTGTAATGTTGGAAATTAGTCACGTAAAAATGAATTATGACTGCTTTTGGTACAAAAAATGTAATCCAAAAGAAAAGTAGGATATGAGTCCTTTACATTTGCAGTATTGTATATTAAAAAAAAGTAGTATGATAAGTGATTCTGAGCTTTCGAACGGTAGCGTAGCATTGTTTACATCGTCATTTGTAAGCTTATATTGTTGCAGAACCAAAAAAAACAGATGCAGTGATTCCTGATTGAGACTTTAAAGTGCTCATACACTTTACACGACATTTGCATGTTATCTTCAGGTTTCTGTTGGTGGAGTCAAAAGCGCTGTGTTACCTCTGAAGCACAAAACTCCCGCCTCTTAAAAACTATAGAACACTTACATTACTGCACAACTACTGTGTGTATGTGTGTGTGTGTGTGTGTGTGTGTGTGTGCGGTGTGCGTGTTATGTGCCAGTGATCCGAGTATTGCCAGTATTTCTCGTGCTCTCCAAATATCTCAGTAGTTGTGTCGGCCGAGGCCTGTTTTTGTTTTTCTTAATCTGATGAAATATTAAACTCGTGAGGAATAAGTGCTGTAATGATGGCAGAATGTATCAGTGTCAGAGTGTCGATTCTCTTTCAGTGTTTCAGTGTCTTTAGAGAACAGTCTGTTGATCAAATGCATCTATTTTTCCACTTAATAGGATGACAGGATTTTATGATGGAGATATTTTCGTCTAACCATAAACAGACTTTAATCGTGAGTCATTTTTACTGATCCATATCACAGAGTCTAATGTCACCACATAAAGCACACAGTGCAGACTTTAGGAGTCTTTGGTAGGAATTACATGTATTACAGGTTTTTTTTCCTCCAGAATTGCTGAAACATTGTTGACACACTGCAGCCCAAACCTGTAGCTGAATTCCCCAAACATTTTTTTTTACCACATCTGTGTACATACTTGCTTACAGTGTGTTTCATTTTTAAGCTGCCACTGTCAGTTACACTACCATATATATATATATATATATATATATATATATATATATATATATATATATGTATATATATATATATATATATATATATATGTATATATATATATATATATATATATATATATATATATATATATATATATATATCAGAACAAAACCTTATATCTCCAAAATGGTAACTTTACAGAAGAAGGAAAAACATGCTTTACTTTTAAAGTCAATGGAACCAGACTTTTTGTCCAAGTAATTTTGGACCTTCTTTTGGTCCATTCATTGTGAAATGTACACACAATGTAAAGAGCAACAGGCATTTTCAAATTCTGCCAACGTGTTTGTGTATATATATATATATATATATATATATATATATATATATATATATATATATGTACACACATTGATATATATATATATATATCATGTATATCAATATATTGTATCTTGCTACTTAACTATTTAAAAATAGTGTGAAGGGTATTTTTTAGATATTTTTAGATATTCTATGCAATATTTTAAGAATTCCATGAACAAGAATAAATAATATACTGTTATTTTCTATTCACATTCATTTTTGTTTTTGAAATATGAATTCTGGATTTTAATTTTATTAGAACTCTTTATTTCTTAATTTGTATTTACAGCTTCATACTAACGATTTGAGACCTGTGAAACTGTACAGGACATGCTAAATAGAATCATGTTATACATTTTTCTGAGGCCAGATTAGATTTATATTATTAAAAACATTCATTTCAATCATTTAAAAGGTTGAATATCGTAATAATCTAATATTCAGTACACTACTGACTATTTTAGTGATCAGTGAAGTATTCAGACTTTCAAATTTTCCATAGTATATTACTGGAAAAAGATACAAGGAACCTATAGTAGAAATATCGAAAACACTACGTGGCAAATAAATGCATGTAAATGTGTGGAATATAATGCATATACTGTAAGAAAGACCAGTAGGAGGACATTAAATGTGCATTATTAGTATGGAAATTGCCATTTCTCTATTAGATTAATCAGAAAAGGCTAATTTGATTTATTTATTTTTATTGAGAAACTATATTCTGATCCATATTCATGTGAACAGGTTTGGGGTTTATGTTTACATTCTCTAAAATGTTTTTGTAACATGGGCAGTTTGTTCAGATTTTAAGGCTGATTTTTCATAATGTCTGCATAATTCAGTGTTTGAGATGTAAACAAAGTGGTTTGGTGTGAAATGGTTGATTGTAGAGACTCAGATTTCCTTACAGTGGTGGTGATAGGAACCAGGGGTCGCCATGACTACAACACAAATATAGACATTTTATTTACTATCCAAAACCACCAGTGAACCTAACTGAGTCTTCTCAGAGTTTTATATGGAATGTTAATGATGGGAAAATAGTGGTTAAAAAAACTTTCTTTGGGGACTATTTTGCCTCACAGTACCCTGCATGTATCCCTCCACCATAAAATTAATATATGTTTTAAAAATATGCTTTATTGTGAAACAATGTCTCAGCCATCAGGCAGTGAATTCATAACCATTTCATGTAATATCTGTCTGTGAGGGAGCTTTTAGAGGTGGATGTCTGGTTCCTATCACCACCACTGTGAACAGTTCTGACTCTGTAAGTTTCTCTAGAACAGAGCGTTTCACACCAAACCGCTCTGAATGACTT